AATATATATTTGAGATCCTTACTACAAGCCCTTTCATTTGATATGTCACGCGATAGTTTGCAAAAATTTTCTTAATTTTCTATTGACCCCCCAAAAATTACCCGACGTTCAAAATAAATTATTCATGTGTACTAAATTTCAACTTAATTGGCCTAGTAAATACGGAGCAAATTAACTGTGACAGACGGACAGACGAACACACGAGTGATCCTATAGGAGTTCCGTTTTTCATTCGGACTTACGGAACCCTAAAAAATGTTAACAAAATGTAGAACAGGGAAGGAGAATAGGGAATATAAATATCAGAACAAGGAATAGGACAGATATGGTGTAGGATATGTAACAAGGAGGTAGAATGTCTGAAACATGTGATAGGAGTATGTGAGAATATCGTAGTCGAACTTGGGAAGAATGCTATGAATTGCTGAATGAGGAAGGGGGTAAACTAAGCCGACTGAAGAAATAAGTTTTAAGGAATAAGAGATCATTTTTCTTAGAACAGTGAAAGAGTTCACAAGGTAGGTAGTGGGAAAGGGGTAAAGGTTAATATAGGTGATAAGTGTTAGAAATGTAGAAAATAACTTTATGTTTAATAAAGCTTAATGAAATATTTGTAATTTATTCAACATTGCCTAATTCGTTTTCGATTTTTTTATTGTAATTTCGTACAAATCATCGGCTAGTTTTAACACTTCTTCGGAACGTTTGGAAGCCCTTTTCAGCGCTTCCCAGCATTCATCTTCTCCTGTAAGCGCCCCAACCAATCCACCTGCCAAGCATGCCAATTTTTTGGTATCCCCTCCCAATGATATGGCATACTCCAACGTTTTCCGAAACCAACAATTTGACTCCATTTCGGGAATCGTCTCTTTGCAACGCAAAAAGCAAAAAATCGCTGTGGGCACGCATTCCAAAGCTTTACTACCATGGCCTAGTTCATGTGCAATATACGAGTACTCATCTGATAAATCTTCGGGAACTTTCTGGGTTAGCCGTTCCGAAACATGCAAAAGTTTATTAGAAAAGGGACGATCCTTTTCATTCTCCTCTATGGCTTTAATTTTCGTTAGAAGTTGATTCATAAAATCGGTAACTTCTAAAGAATCTTCGCGGACATGAAGACACTGATGAATGGCGATACATTGAAGTAGTGCACCGTTGATTCCCAATGGATGCGTGTGGGTTATTTTTGAAATATTTCTTGTCTCTTTAATCATGGTGTTGTAATCATCGTAATAATAAAGACTTAATGGTGCAATCATTGTTGCAGCACTGCTTCCAAGCGACCCCATTCCATGGTGACTTTCTTTTGCCGCCTGAAATACGTCGTCTTCCGGCTTTAAAAATTTTAATCTATATAATACCTCCGCTACTGATTCACCATGTACCCTTTTGTCTGTCAAAAAGAAATCGTTTGCCAGTTTTACTCCAATTGCCTTGTAATCAGTGGGTAAATTTTCTAACATCGAGTGTCCCAGACTTCTCATCAAAGATGCAGTGCCTTTGATTTTATTCACGGAATGTTCGAAGTCTTGATCTTCGAAGTGTTCGAGAAGAGTTTTCACAACAAACCTCAGGGCATGGGTCATTGTTTCGTTTTCGAATACCGATCCTAAACAATCACCCAATAATGTGCCCATGAGACAACCTCGGAATTTACTTCTTAGTGAAATACTGGTCATTTGAACAGCTAGAGTGGTTTTGTCTTTTTTCCGTCGTTTTTGTAGAACAGTTTAAAGTCTTTTTTGACCATTTGTAATAACAATATTATATTTATATTTAATGAACCCTTTTATCTTAAATTATTATCTAAAGAACATAAAACTCAAATAAAATCATTTTGTCACATTATCTGTCAAACGATAGCCTTTAATTTTAGTAATTTTAAAATTGTTTCTGCGTACAGAATTCAAGAAACATTTTAATAAATAAATAATTTTTTGATACATAAATAATTTTTAACATATACCTACTGTTCTTGTCTTTTGTTAAAATGATAAAGTAAAAGAAGATGTACAAATGAAGTGAAGAAACTTGCTTTTTCCCTCTGTAGGGTGTAGATATGTTTCAGTCGGTTCCAGAATATAAACCACATAAAATACTCTTAAGACCGAACGCCGCAGGCAATCGATATATCGGTTGCAGTTTTATGCGTCCGAAAGCCGGCAGCCGAGGATCATAAATCATAGCTAACAGGAATAGTGCGCGTTCAAAGTCATGAAACAAGTGACAGCGAAATGAAAAATAGCAATTGCAAATAATCACACGAAATGGTCTGGTCTATGATTTTTTCCATAAAATATTTCACTTCTCAGAAAAAGGTACCTTAACTGAGATGCTCATTGATTACGACAAATATTTTGCCGACATTCAAAAACTGATTACTCTATCAGCATTAATCGGTTAGTCGCTTTAGGTGTATTATTTAAGGAACGACAAGACTAACGAGCGACAGAACCAGTGCAGTTAATTAGGCCAGAAGTTTCAATATTTTTAATTGAAAATAGAATCGGCAACATTCACTATCTAGTGATTCTACCTACCAGTCTGTAATAAGGATGGACGTCTTGTAACCATAATTACAAAAAACAGCAAAAACCCTGAATAGTTGACAAGCAAAGAGAAACGCATTTATTGAACTGTAGAAACATATAATAGTTAACATAGGGATTATTTCGATATATTTAACAACAAACCCTTGTCAAAAATTATTTAGTAAACATAACTCACAATAATGTTCAAGGTAGTCATTAAACGTTTCCGATGAAAACCAAAAACAAGGAAAACCTTCAATTGATATCCAGTAACGTATTTGCCAGTTACCAATATGTTCCAAATTTTTACCAGCTTTTACCATGGAGAAATTATTTATTTAAATCAAATTAAAAAATAATTGGCTGACAGATAATACGCATACCTATTGGGATCCGTCAAGTAGGAGGAGCTTAAAAACATGGCGCCGATTAGGGAAAATTTATCGTAGTTCCTATAGTGTACCGTGCACTTTCCAAGTTTTTAAATTACGATAAAATGATAAGTATTGACACAATTTCGTTGAAAGTGAGCGTGTTTTTAATGCCAATCACATTATAAAATTCGAAAATAACAAATCCGGAAGCTAGCTTTCAAATTCCGTCAAGTTTACTGCCTACTTTTTACAAACTTCGGAT